ATTCAAATAATGGAGGTCTATGGCGCCCGAGACAGAAAGGTCCATAAAAGTCCACAAAAACGTGTCAATATTCCTCCATACTGCTCGTCCAATGTATTCCAAGTTTCCTGAGTGGGTAGCATCCAGAATTTACTCGAAACGAAGTCATTTAGAATGTTTTTAGAGCATAAACAGTAGTGTATAGGATTTCCTGAAAGCGCGCAGATGCGCGATCACGACGCTACGGAAGCCGGCACACCAAACCAGCGCATTCAGCTCGGCAAAGAACTCATGCTCTTCTTCAACACTGAAGTCCTCAGACATTTTTCTTTCGTTGTTTCTTTCTTTGCACAGGTAAACAGCACATTTCTTCTTCTACGCTTGCATTATCGGCAGAGCAGACGCTGAATGCGCACTTTCATCTGGTTTGGTCTGCCGGCTTCCGTAGAATCGTGAGCGCGCATGGGGGCGCTATTAGGAAATCCTATACACTACTGTTTAGGCTCTAAAACGTTCTAAATGACTTCGTTTCGAGTAAATTCTGGATGCTACCCACTCAGGACACTTGGATTACATTGGACGAGCAGTATGGAGGAATATTGACACGTTTTTGTGGACTTTTGTGGACCTTTCTGTCTCGGGCGCCATAGACCTCCATTATTTGAATGTCAGCAGACAGCAAGAAGCCTCCCAGATCTCCAGATGCATTTGAGATATCAAAAAAGTACTCCAGAGTTTTGTTCAGCATGGGGGTGAGTAGAAAATGAAGGCTAATCATGTTTTGGGTGTACTATTCCTTTAAGAGGTTAAACCTTTACAGTATGAGCCTTTAGGGAAATATACAACAATCTGAGCTTTAAACAGAAGAGCTTAAGCATCATTTGAAAGGCTTTCCATTGTGCGTCATCCAGTTCGTCACACTTTCTGCACACATTAAAGCAAATTATGATATTATAACAGTTCTTATTGAACTATCATAATCGGGAGAGGGGGATTTGCTATTAGACAATACTAGGCTATTGCCTAACTCTGTTTACATGTATTGTTAATACCACTATTCCTTATTTGTGCACATTAATTACATTTTTTGATAAAAATCCTTTGGCTATAACGCCATCAGAACGCCCCCCCCCCCCCCCCCCCCCCCCCCCATCCCCCCCCGCCCTTCAATGTCCACCATATTGGATCAGTCCATTTGCTGCACATGTTCAGAAAGGTCCAAACAGACAGCAGCAAACCATTTGAAAACAAACCATGCAAAGAGCAGTGCTGCTAACTTAGCGCTTTAGTCACTATATTTAGCCACTTTTCAGACCCCTCTAGAAATTTGATTTATAGAAAGCGCCTAGCACCAAATCTAGACTTTTTTCTGCTACTGGAGACTTTGGAGACAACATCTAAAAGCAGCGAACTCTGCTCTCCAGAGCAAGTAGATTGGTAACCCCGCCTCCTGCTCTCCTCTGTCTTGTCTGCTGTCATGATTCATGCAGCTATTATTTCATCCAAATGAAAAATGGAGAACAGAGAAGCAGATCATGGCTTGTCTACAGTGAAAAGAAGGACTGGGTTATTTACTTTGGCCTTTTTGGAAACACAGGAAGGAGCAATCAGCTAAGTGAGCTTAGTGCTTGGAAAAAATCTTTCATTCCTTTAGAGACAGCATGAAAAGTCAGCTGAGTACAAAACATAGAGAGGAAAACAAGAAGAAAAGGGACAAGAAGAGAGGGACACAACCTAGAACAGATAATGGATGTCTATTCTATTAACATTTCTACATCTGTAAAATGGGTCTGTTTTATGTATTGTCTTCTCAGTTCAGAGGGCCCCCTGCCAGTCTTTGCCTAGGGCCCCACATTTCCTAAATCCATCCCTGATCATAATTTTACATTTTCAGATTATTCCATACATTTAAACCAAACTAAATATTTCCTCTTTTCAAAACATATTCAAAGGAATAATCATTTATAGATATTTGAGTTCAGGTTGTATGAATTTGCCATCATTAACAGCTTCGTTACCCATAAGAAACAGGTTTCGTATGACTGAGCTTTTTGAACAGTAAAACATTAATGAAGAGATGACATCTAACATGCTAATCAGACATGCCAATGTGGCTATAAGAATAACTGTCTTGATGCCAAAAAAGACCCCAACGGAGCAGTACGGCTGTCACCATAGTGTTCCCCTTGATTTCTGCATTTAAATAGCTTTATTATAATTATGCAGGGAGTTTTACAGATAATATGGACACTGCAATGGAAGAAGAACAGAAGATGAAAAACAGGAAAAGGGAAAAAAGATGAAAGAAACAGGAGATAAAAGGGAGATAATGATAAAACATCTTCAGTCTGCTTCATCTGCAAAGAGATGTAAAAAGAACAGAACAACCAACGGATATAGTATAAGAGATACACTAAGGTAGCACCTTGATACTATCGCTGAAGTATAAGTGTTATTATTTAATCTGAAATGTATTCTGTCAGACATTTTTGAGCCTCACTCATCGGTTAATGTCATTGGATCATTTTTAAAGTGGAAAATCTAAAAATATTAAAGCTATTAACATGACATACCTTCATATCTGGGAACATAGCTCTCTATCACCATTAAATTCTAGCTTTTTCTGATGTTTTTTTTTATTATTATCTGAAGTTCTTCCATTTAATAAAAAAAAGTTGATTTATTTCTGCTGTTTTTATCTCTGCTATTTGATGCTGTGCAGCTAAAGGGATCTTTGCTGATATCTTTTCGTTTTTGGACGCATTTCATAATGTATAAAAATACACTGCAAAAAATGGAAATCTAAAACTAAGTGCATTTGTTCTTGAATTGAGGAGTTAAGTGAGACACTTTGCCAATGGATCAAATCATTTAACATTTTACCAATTAGAAAAAGCAATTGCATTGTCTTATTTCAAGTGCATAATATCTAATAATCTTATTTTAAGAGTAAAAATACTCATTCCATTGGCAAGGTTTTGATGGGGTTTGAACTTTTCTGTACGTACATTTCACCCACTGAACTCTCGTTATTCATCTATGAATATGAAAACTCGGTTTTGCATTCTATGACCCCTTTAAAAGAAGGTGCAAAGGATACAGAGCAGGATCGAGGAGAAGAGAGAGGAGGAAATTAAAGCCATCTCCAACTTCAAGCATGACAATTAACTCTTCTAAACCTCTGGAGATGATTTCATACACAGGAAGAATTCCTCATAAAATGAGGAACATTGTGGAAAACTGTGAACATCCACTCCAGAAATCTTTTGAGCTACTGCAGAGTGTCTTCAGTCAAAGGCTTCTACAGATCTGGTGCAAGACAGACCGCTGCAGATCCCTCCTGCCTACAGCCATCAATAAATACACTAACCGACTAACTATGTTACAACAGCATTTAATTCCCTTTAGGATCAACAAAGTATTTTCAATTTAATTGAAATGCAGCATTTGACTTAAAAATGTTTTACGTTGTTTTAAAGGCAGCACAGTTAGTATAAAGAGGCCAGAATGTAACCTTTTGATTTTCATGAAAGTAATTAAGTTAAATGTTTTTATTTATATTATTAACAATGTTTAAGGGATAAAGATGGTTTAGAGCTGGTTACATTGACAGATATGGTAACTTTTACTAATGATAAGCAGACTAAAGATGTTTTTTTGTTATCTCCCTTTTATCTCCTCTTTCTTTCATCTTTTCTCCTTTTCCCTGTTTTTCCTTTCCTGTTCTACTTCCATTGCAGTGTGCATATAACCTGTAATACTCCCTGCATGAATTATAATAATGCTATTTCTTGTATAAATCAAGCGGAACACTATGGTGATAGCCGTACTGATCAACTTGTGAAAGCAAAATCTGTTGGGCTCTTTTTCGGCGTCAAGACGATTATTTTTATTGCCACATTGCTAGACAGGACACTTTAAATAAATGAATAAATAAAACCTCTGTTTGCTCTTAAAACACCATGCTCTAATTCGCCTAAAGATGAGTCCAGCAGGGCTGAGCAGTAATTATGGAGCTTTGCAAGGAAACAAGATTAGATTTAGAGTAACGCTTGGTGTGTCTAAATTCCTTGAGCCTCTCTCTGATGAATTGTGGTGTGAAAAATGAAAACTACTTGTACATTTTAAGCTTTTATACCTGTATGATATTGCATACAGTAGAATGAGGTGATAACAGTAAAGATGCTGAGTGGAGTGAATCAATGTGAGGCTTCAGTCATAAAGCATCTCTGCACCTCTTAACCAACAACTGCGCCCCGGCCGCAGGTTGGGACTCGGTCTAAGACTCGGTCTGAGACTCACTGGGACACATCATTCCACAGCTGCGTAACAGATGCTAAGAGCGTTCACTCTCACAAGCATCCAGGACTATTCCTCATCTGTGGATTCACACTGTTAACCTTTGGAAGCAGGTTTGCTCATACCGGACTGCCTACAAACATCTATGTGCACTGGAGTCCATTTTTCTTAAATCAAGTGAATTTGTTCTTGGATTAAGAAGGTAAAAGATACATTTTGCAAATGGAACAAGACAATTTACACTTTAAATAAGAAAACACTATTGCATTGTCTTATTTCAAGAGCATATTATCGAATTATCTTACTTTAAGAGTAAAATACTCATTCCATTGGCAAACTCTCATTTACCTACTCAGATTAAGGGTAAATACTCTTAATTTAAGAAATGTTTACTTATTTCTAGATTGTTTGTCGAGTGTGTCGGTCATAATAGTATGGACCAGGTAGGCAGTCTTTTTATGCAACCACATCAACTTCATCTGTTTTTGTTAGTCTTTTAACATTCATTCAGCATTTGTTTGGATATATGAATGTTTTTCTGAGACTCAGACATAGCGTTGCCTCCCTGGACTTTGCTTCTTATTCATGCTTCCTCAATCTTTTAGGGTTTTTTTCTTTTGGTTTTGTTCAGAGTTTTATTCATAATCCAGTTATAAAACTGAACCATATTCAGCATACGGCAGAAAGCAGGCCAGCTGAATCATTTGCTGTGCATCTTTCAGGCGCTGCAGGGTCACACATGAGCAAACAGCAGGTTGGATTGACTGAACTTAGCCCAGTCAGTCAGTTGCACCATCTCTTTGAATCATCAGCACCAGTCCACCAATCACAACTCATCTGGAGGGATGGATGCTGTCTCTCTCCTCTGCAGAAAGTAAGACTTATACATCTAGTCCTTTTTAACACATGCTCTGACTTAAGTTCTGCATTTTACTTGGATTTAGAATATTTTTTGCTTTTCAAACGACCCTCATATGGATTTGGCTCCTAAAATAGACATTCCTAGCCTGCTACTGTCTCTTTCTTCATTAACATTTTCGTTTCCACCTCCTTACTTCAAAAAACACATTTTTCCATTCACAAAAAACTCAGGATTCACCTTGTTCAATTTCCTCCTTCCTTCCCGCCTGTGATGGAAACATAAGAAACAGCTCTCTGATGTCTTGGAGCTGCGCTTGCAGCAGTAAATCTTGCAGGAGACTGAATCCTGCAGACAGAGAAAATGTGATCTAACAGCGAGCTGTTCCCCTGTTTGTTCTGCACTAATAAATCCTTGTTGAGAGGATCTCTGTTCATGCTGCTCGGCTCTGCCAGCTGCTGCAGAGTGTTGCACAAATCTGACAAGAGCTGAAACATAGAGAGCATAGTCTTCAGTTGGGAACGGGACGCTGGCCAGCAGCTGCTTAGAGGAGTCTGAAGCAAAGCTCCAAATAAAAACTGATGATCCTGTCAGAGAGCTTTTGTCTTTACATATTTTTGAACATTCAGTTTTTTTGTGTGAGCACTTCCACATTCTTCTTTAATTTGTTTTGAGGGAAGCTGTAGTTTAAATTTGATCAATAACGGCACAGTGTTTATTTTTTTAATATATTTATCTCTTGTTTGCTGTCTAGCTAAACTTGAAATTCTTTTAATTTTCATTTAATACAGTTTTGTGTGTGCACCTGTTAGCTTTGCTCCAGCGTCTAAGGTGCAGAGCATGAGAGCGTTTGCAGCCTCTGAAATAATTTAATGTAGTTGACCAATGCATTTGAAGAAGGATTGCCCCCCCACCCCAATACTCACTGCAAAAACTTGAAATCTAAGTCATTTTTTCTTAAAAGAAATGCAATTTGTCTTGAATTGAGGAGGTAAGTGAGACACTGCCAATGCAACATGACAATTTACATTCAAATAAGAAAAAAAACAATTGCATTGTCTTATTTCAAGTGCATATTATCTAATTATCTTATTTTAAGTGAAAAAATACTAATTCCATTGGAAAACTATCTCATTTACCTACTCAAATTAAGGGTAAATACAGTTAATTTGAGACTTTTATACTTTTTGCAGTGCAGCAGGCTAATAGAGATAAAGACTTTAGTTTTAAGGTTGAATTATTACAGAAAAGTTCACATTTTCTATCTACATTTTTGTATTTAAATAAGTATTTGTCTTTTAGTATCCAAAACTTTTTATTACTTTTTTATTTCTATAAAAACAAGAAAAAATCTGCTACCTTTAATTATTAAAGTTACATGAATACAGCAAGTGTTTTCTAATAGATATTGATTTAAATCCTGCTTTTATACCTGAAAAAGAATAAACTTCTGAACTTTTTTTTTTCAGGGGAGCCCCCAAACAATTAGAAACTGGATGAAAACATTGTAAAGAGGCAAATGTGCAAACTCCTTTTTAAGTTTTGGCTCTACAATAATTTACATTTTCCCTTTCCCTAAAGAAAATTTGACAAAATGTGCATGATCATGTTATTTAGAGCAGCTGAAATAAAAGTTATAAAATATTTCTGGTCATTCTAGAACTTTGAAAATCTAGGGTCGACTAGATTTGATTTTCCCCTTTCACATACTCTATTTTATTCTGTTCTATTCTATTCTATCCTATTATATCCTATTTCATCATACTCTATCCTATTTTATCATATTCTATTCTATTCTATTCTATTCTATTCTATCCTTTTCTATTTTTTTCTATTCTATCCTGTCCTATCCTATTCTATTATATTCTTTTCTATTCTATTCTCAGCATGTTCCAGGTATAAGTCAGAGGACCAGTTAAGTTTCCTAACAGCCCTGATGGAACCTGAGGTCCTGTTAGGTAGGAACTAAGCCTGGTTCCTCCATGGACCCTACAAGATACCCCTGGTCTGCCTACCAGGTTCTTATGGGAGAATTTAAAAGTGAACAATGTCACTACGTTAGACAGGGGCCAACAGGGGCCAACAGGGGCCAGTGACCGTGTAGAACTGCTCTTGGCCCCTATTAAAGGCCCCTAAATCACATTCCTCTGTTTTTATGTGATGACATGCAAAACGCAAGTAATTGTCTAACTTTATAATTTTTTGTAATAATAATTTTAAAATCAGGGCGTTGCTCTTAGAGGCTACACTTGTATTAAGACAGGATCAGAGTTTTCCTCTGCTAGATCAGGGGTCTGCAACCTGCAGCTCCGGGGCCGCTAGAAGCCTTCGGCTCTGTGGCTCAAAGATAAAGAACTGATTTTGTTTTTATTCAGAGCCCCATAAAATAGACTGTATTAATTACAAGTTATTCTAAAAACGGTTTGGACCTCACCAATCCCTCACACTAAGCATGCTTGTAGAGACAGTGGAGAGGAAAAACTCCCTTTTAACAGGAAGAAACCTCCAGCAGAACCAGGCTCAGTGTGAGCGGCCATCTGCTGAGGCCCACTGGGGTTCAAGGAGACAGAAGCAGACATAGAAAAAAAGCAGAGATACAAAAAGGAACAGTCAACCAGCTCCACAGGCGGCCCCGTCCAGGAAACACACAGCGAGGTAGACGAGCTCCGAGCCAGCTCCCATGTCAGAGGATGAAGAGAGCACATCCAGTCAGTCACAGTCAGAGAAACAGGACTACACTGAAAAACAGGCCGATCTCCAACATCTGATCAGAGCAGCTTTCCACAGAGGTCTGCTTTGGGTGGAAGGTAAACATTTCTGAAATAAATTAAAAATATATATCCTTAAATGCATTTTAATGCTCTAATCTTTCTGGTCAGTGACCACGGAGTGAGTCTTCACTAACTGTATAAAAAAGCTTAGATTCCCTCGGCACACAAAGAAACGATGACCTTACATTCATCCCCAGAAGCGTTAAAATCCTGAAACCCTGATGCTGAGGGAGTTCTGCGCACTGGAAGCTCTCAGACAGTCTGCAGACAGGGTTCTGAGGAACCTCTCAGAACTCTGGGTTTCCAAAGGTTAGCAGCAAACTCTGATGTCCTCTGAGAGCAGAGAAACGCCACAGGTCATACAGCAGAGGTGAAGGAACGAGCTTCATGACTATAACAGGAGGCATAAAGAGCCTCAGATAATAATCTGACCTCTCTCTCTTTCAGATTTTCATTCACTGCCGTTTTCCTCATTAGTAAGTCCAGATGTATTCATACCCCAGGAAAATATAAGGCTAAATTATTTGTTTGATTTTACTCTTTAATAGATAGCAGGAACAGCCCAGACAGAGGTCTGACAAATTCTCAGCAAGTAAAGGGAGATTTTTATGTTCAAATCCTCGTAAACAAAAATGTGAAAAGAGGAGGGGAAAAAAACAGAAGAAATTGAGAAAACTTTAAAAATCTTACAGTTGTATCTGTGGATGGATTTCAGTTTGATTTCCTGTTAGAAACAAACTTCTGGTCTGAATGGGAACAGTTTGAACTCTGGATCAGCAGAGGAATCATTCAGGGCTGAACTGTCTGGATAAATAAATCATAAATCAGACTGTTAGGATTATTTGCTGAAACGTTCTGTGTGATCCTTTAAAAAGAAAACTTTCATACCAGGTTATTATCAAATGTTTTTTAAGCCTTAATTTTTTTTTTTATTGTAATGAAGAAACCTGATTTTGTTAAAAAAAAACTTTATAGTTTTAACATTGGAATGTTTTATTTTGATCCTAAAGAAATAAACATTAGTTATTTCCATAAGCTGATGTGTATGTAGATATAGACTGTAAGGAGTCTTAGTGAGGAAGAGGAGGGAGTCTGACTGCTGGTCAACAGAAACACAACGCAGAGCCGAGGAGGAAGCATATCTGCTCACGTTTAGCAGAACTGGAGGAAAAAGACAAAAATATGCTACTGCACCGTTTCTAGAGACAAATTAAAGAAAAAGGGAGACAGACTGCATGATCACACCTCTGACATGGAAGAAAAAGGTTCGTTCAGGTGATGCCCATCATTTCAGCACTAGAACTTAATATCTAGAGCAATTTTTTAACATAAAAGTGGTTTTAAACAGTGATATAAATGCCCCCATAATTTAGAAAGGAAATAAAACACACAGACACAAGAATACGGCCAAGAAATAAGATTTATTTCACTTTTAAAATAAGATAATTAGATAAAATGCAGTTGAAATAAGACAATGCAATTGTTTTCTTGTTTTAAATGTAAATCCTCTTGTTCCATTGGCAAAATGTCTCTTTTACATCCTCAATTCAAGAACAAATGCACTTATTTTAAGAAAAAATGACTCATCTATATTCTGATTTTTTCTAGTCTGATTTTTTCAGTAATAATTTCTTAAAAATACTTTCTAAACCTGAGAAAATGGCGATGCAAGCGGACATCCATGGTGAAGACATGTCCCAGTCAGAAGGAATAAAGAATCAGAGCGTGTGTGAAGGGCTTAGCTGCTCGCTGAGAGACGCAAAGCAGGGACGGTATAAATCGTGGTGTGTTTGAAGGGGGGGTGGTTTCTGTGGTTGTAATTGCCCTGATTCTGGGGCTTTAGCTTTGCTTTAGCTTCCAGTGACAGAAGCAGCCGTCAGGAGGCCCAAGGTGTGTTTAGAGCTTGAGAGAAATACAGCGTCCCCCCCTCTGTTCCCACCTGCTGGAACTTATGATATTTTATCTCAAGCTTAGCATGTAAATGCAAAGAAAGGGCTGGTTTCCCCTGAATACAGCTGTGTCTGCACCGTCCATGGAGCGTAGAAGGGGTTTAAAAAGTGATGCACGGAGCAGAGAGGGATTCAGTTTTACTCCTCAGCTTCATAAACACTGTATTCTGTTGCCTTTTTAATGCAGGTTGATTGTTTCTTCCTTTCAAAGTTCAGGTATATTTCTTTTTTTTTTACTTATACTTGAAAGTTTACCTGCAGTGCATTAAACTAAAACTGTTGTACAACTTTTTAA